GAAGGAAGGAAGGAAGGAAGGAAGGAAGGAAGGAAGGAAGGAAGGAAAAGATCAGAGAGAAATTAAAGGGTTCACTCACAGTAACCCCGGTGGTGGCAGGGTCCTTCCCTTCCATGAGTTTGTAAATATTTTCCAAGGCTTCTTCTGGGCTCTTCCCCTTGAAGCGCTTTTGGCTCAGCTCCTTCATCGCCTCTTGAAATTGATTAAAGTTGATGGTTCTGGCATTCTTGGCCCTGGCCAGTCAGACAGAAATCCAGTAACTGTGGAGTGTGAAGTCACTACTTCCCAACATTATCTACCTTTCTCTTAGTCAGGCATGGCCTATTTTATCCTGCCAATGAATCTTGAGAAGAGGGACCGGGACAGTGCCCAGCACTTGCCAGATGCTCCTTATAAATCTTCCATAAGAACTGTGCCAGGCGATGCCAGGCTGGTGGTACAGACCTCTAATCCCAGCACTCAGAGGCAGGTGGATCTCTGTGAGTTTGAGGCCAACCTGGTCTACAGAGAGTTTCAGGACAGCAAGGACTACATAGAGAAACTCTGTCTCAAAAATAAATGAATGAATGAATGAATGAATGAATGAATGAATGAAAAGAAAAGAAAGAAGGAAATGAACTGCGCTGTGACCATTTATCTTTTCACTTCACCCCCCCTCCCCGCCTTTGGCCCCTTACTTCACTTTGCTGAACACAATGTCTACATCTGTGGAGGTCACTGCCTTGCCATCCATAATGCCGCAGTCTTTACAGAGTTTTGAGAAGTTCTTGTTGGTAATTTCAGTTCCACTGCTGGATGAGTCTCCAAATACAGCAAATCGATGGAATGTTCTTTCTGCTTCTGAGGCCATGGTCAGCTGCAGGGGGTGGAGGGGGGCAGGAGGGAAGGGGACTGGGGAGCAAAGGATGATGGGATGATTGAGGGTAAGGTGCATGGTAAACTACGGCAGCACCAGGAACAACTGTCACCTTCCTTGTTGCTCTCCTGCTGTCTTCCTCCCCTTTCCACAGCTGCAGCTACAGCTCAAGCCTTCCCTCCCCGGCACTGTGGCTACTAGTGTCAAACCTGAACCCCTACACATTCGTAATCCCCTTACCCCACCACTTTCACGTACCTGGGAGCCCAGGTGGTGTCTATGCCTGCGTATACATGTGTGTGCAGCTATGTGGGAGTCAGATGACCAAGGAGAAGGATGTGGCAATAGGGGAGCAAAAATAGGTGAAGAAAGCAGGAAAAAACACTGTGACATCACAGTGTTACATGACATCACTCTGGCTATGGCTTGGTCTCTCTACTGTCTTCCCTTCGGCATCAGAAGCAGAGAGCCATCAATGTCCTCTCTTTGGAGAGCTGTCCAGCCGCGGCACTGAAATGAGCAAGAACTTCAAGCCGTGTAAGAGGATGGAATCATGGATGGTGAGACATGACCTTTGACCTGAGCAAGCTGCCATTCTGCTGGTGTCTTCAGATGACCAAACCCCCCCTACTCACTTCAGCTCAGTTGACTAATCTCCACTTTGCCCTCGCATGGTAGAGCTCCCTGAACCTGTGAAGCCATTAATCTCATTCTGAAATATCATCCTTATACATAACCTCGTGAAACCTCATCACGAGCCCCTCCCAAACTCACTTCTTAATAACACTATGTTGGGAGGTAGGATTTTAGCATGTACATTTTGGGGAGACCCAACCACTGAAGCATTTGGGATTGAGGGGAACAGGCTGGCTTGGGCTGAACACTGCCTTCCAGTCTGCTCTCCCAGCCCAGGTATACTGACTGGCATGGAGAACCCCTCTGCTGTGGGAAGACAGCCACAGCAGGGATCTTAAGGGTCTGCTGATGACTCCAGAGGGAAGAAGCAGAAGACCTGGAGGATAAGTGGAGTGTGGTGTGTCAGGGTAAGTCTCCAACTCTGAAAATTCTCCAGAGCAGTTCCAAGAAACCCTTAATAGTTTCTTTCTGGACAAAAGCCTTGTAAGAGAGATGAACTTCAGGTATCCAAGAATTATAGTAATTGGTCACTTTTTTTTTTCTTCGAGACAGGGTTTCTCTGTGTAGCTTTGGCTGTCCTGGACTCGCTTTGTAGACCAGGCTGACCTTGAACTCACAGCAACCCTCCTGCCTCTGCCTCCTGAGTGCTGGGATTACCAGCGTTCACCACACCATGCCTGGTGTCAGTTTGTAATTTTATAAATTCATTCCTGCCACGTGGTGGTGGTGGCACACTCCTTTAATACCAGAATTCAGGAGGTAGAGGCAGGTGGATCTCTTGAGTACAAGGCCAGTCTCTGGTCTACAAAGTGAGTTTCAGCACAGTGGGGCTACACAGAGAAACCCTGTCTCGAAAAACAAAACAAAACAAAACAAATAATAAATTCATCTTTTTCCATTTCTTGTATTCTTGTATCCTTATTCAAGTTTTTTTTTCCAATTTCTTTATTTTATGTGTTTGGGTGTATTGCAGGCATGCATATCTGTGCAGCATGTGTAGGTTTGGTGCCCTTAGAGGCCAGAACACGGTATCAAGGAAGCCAGAAGACGCTATCCCTGGGACCAGAGGAACAGCCCTGGTCGAGAGTTGCCATATGGGTATTGGGAATTGAACTCTCAGCTCCTCTGGAAGAGCAGTTAGGCCTTCTAACTTGGGTCTCTCTCCAGACCCAAGTCTTTTTTTTTTTTTTTGCTTCACATCTCAATGGTTATCTGAGGCTTCTGAACAGCCATTTTTCTCAGTTCAATGCTTTCCTCCTTTCTACTTCACAAACCAGCTCTGTCACCCTTTTCCCATTAGTGTAATGCTCCCCAAAATGGATTCTCTATCCACTATTCGTGCTGGAGAATAGATTATGGTACCTGAGTACAGTAACACATGCCTGTATCCACAGAACTCTGGAGGCCAAGGCTGGGAAGATGTTCAAGGCCAGTCTTACACACATGACCAGTTTAAGGAATACCTGATACCCTGCTTCAAACATGCCTATGCTGTGACTTGAGAATAGTTGGGACTGCAGAGATGGCCCCATGGCAGTTAAAAGCACATAATGCTCTTGAAGAGAACCTGGGTTTAATTCCTGGTAGCCACATCAGGCAGTTAACCACTGGCAGTGATTTCAGGTCCAGAGAGGGATCTGATGTCTCTGGCCTTCATGGGCCTTAAATCCACATGCATATACTCACACTCAGACACATAAATAAAAACAAAACGTCCTTTCAAAAAATGCAAACACTGTCATTCTTATTGCTCAGTCCTTTTGCCTGCCATTCAAGGACACAACTTGTTCTGTCCTCCCCTCCCCCACCCCCCAGTCTGTCTCACCAAGTGTCATCCTCCTCTCGCTAACTTTGCTCTTAGCTCAGGTTCTAATGGCATAACAGTTACACACTCAAGAGGTTAATCTGGTGGAAAGAAAACAGACCCTGGAGGGGAATGAATCTGGCAGGGGTTCAAATCCTAGGTGTGTTATCAGCTGTGGCCAGGCGCAAGTCATTAACATTTCTGGGCTTCAGTTTCCACATTTGTATGGTTAAGGACAACAATACAGATTTGGGGATCACAGGTACTACTTCCTCTTAAATTCTTCAGAGTACTCGTGTTTATGCCTATCCTTTCTCTTCTGCTCCCTGCCTGGACAAAACACCCCCTTCATCCCACTCAAATAGTCCACTTCTCATCTGGGAATGAGAAGTTTCACCCTGGAAACAAAACTTCTTTCCTCTGACTTATAGACACTGATGGCCCTTAGCCTAGGGGCTCTAGCCTCCTGGGGTGGGGATTGCTAGGGGCCCTGAAATCTCTTGGTACAAACAAGATTGAGTGCAGACGATAAACAATACGCTTTGCAAATGCATATGTGATTGTTAGAGCACTATAGAAATTACTTTTAAGTTATTTCCGAATTTCCAATTTGTGCTTTCTTCATCAGGGTCACTAAAATCTTTCTGGGGGAAATGAAAAGCTCTTCTCTTCCACTGGAGAGCAGTGAGGGCCTGCTACAAGGCTTGTTCTCTATACATTGGTCTTATAGATTATTTTCCCTAGTCTTTTATACATACACACACACACACACACACACACACACACACATATATATATATATATATATATATATATATGATTCTTCAATACCTGGATCACAAAACTGACCAAAACATATCACTTCTTTGAATTTCACCTATCCAGGGGTTTGTACACTGCCTGTGCTTGAAGCTGTCACTTAGCTGCAAGTGTAGTTTGAAGCTGCTTTTGACCCAGGGAGAGTAGGGTAGATATCGTCCGTGTCGGGACACTGTCTTGAACCTGTCCTAACAGTAAAGAACAATGAGGCAGAACCTCATATCAGGTCGGAGCTGCCTAGAGACGCCCTAGGTCTAGGACAGAAACACATCTCAGTGGAAATTTCCCACCTCCGGCCCTTCCCAAGCCCCTATGTCTGCCTCTGCCCCTTATCAGGTTCCCCCTGAGTCATCCTGACCCAGAGACGAATTTAGATGCTGGAACCTTCCAGTGTCTCCCTCCCCCTCTCCAAGCATGTCTACTTTAGACACATGAGAGAAGCCTACAGGCTCAAGGGCTCACTCCAGGTTCCCTGGCTTTCTACATGCCGCAAGCGCTGTCTGAGATCTTTTGTATCTTACCATCTTACCCAACTGTAGCTGTGATCTTAATTCCAGCAATCTTCTCGTGGAGGACAGCTCTAAACCTGCACCCAGGGGCTAGACAGGAAGCTTATGCCAGGTTTCTGTGCTAGTTTCTAGAGCAATAGCTAGGAGGGGAACAGGAGAAAAAAACAGAGGACAACTTGGGGCTCCATTTGGGGGATATAGGAAGCTCTTTAGGTCTAGGGTGTTCTGTTTTGTTTTTGAAAGCTGGGTTTGAGCCTATCCAGGTCTCCTCCTCCTCCCTCTTGGCCTCTCCTTCTTTCCAACAGACCTGCCAAGTGGGGATGAAAAGGGGCATTGATTTTCCTTGGGGAGGGGGGGGTGGGTGGTGAGAGTAGTTCCCAGGCAGGGGGGAGGGCAATCTAGGGGTCTTGTGGGGAGCAGTCTGCGCTGGTGTTGCAGTTGGCAGCTCCAGTTCCATTGGACATTGTTTTCAACTGGCCTGGCGCCCAGCCCCCGAAATGGCAAGTCTGGAACTAGGCTTGAAGGGGGATGGGGTAGGATTGATCCTGGGAGCAAGGGTGCGAGAACGAGGGCATGTGGGGAAATTCAATCTGGTTGCCCAACACAACTTTCAACCCCCATAGCCACATCAACCCTTCCGTTCCAGCAAGCCTCCTCTAAAGAGCACAGGGAGGGTGTGTCTCAGCTGTGACTCTTGTGGAAGTCTAGGATAGGATGGCAAACCCACCCAGGCGCTGAGAGTCGAGCTCAGGAGACATCTGCAACGGGGTAGTGCCACTTAGCCTTTCAGAGCTGATCTCACCCTCCTTTTCGGGGTTGGGCTAGGAGGGGTTAGCGCCTCAGCCACAGGGTCTCTTGGGTCTCAGCCCAGGACATCGAGTCCTCCCCAAACCCTTACTCCACCCTTGCGGGGTTAGCTCCGCCTCCGCGCCTGTTTACACAGGAGTCAGAGCCCTTGGGGGGTCCCCTGTCCCTCCCCTGCGCCCCCCCCCCGTTGGGGCCTTGACCCGGGAATCGCTGTTGGCCATCATCTTCCCCCTCCTTCGTTCATCCTCTATTTATAGCGGCCCCCAGAATTTCCTGCCCCCCCCCCTTGCTTGTTGTCCAACTTTTCACCGAGCGGCTGGAGAGCAGGCGGCGGGATTCGGCTGAGGAGGTACCAGCACCCCAAGCGTTCGGAATCCCTGCGTCCTCGACGCCCCATGCCCAGACACGCTGGCACTACCGCCCCTACCTGCCCCAAGACCTGGTCGGAGCGGTAGCCCTCGCCCACCTCCCCCTTCCTCGACCTAGCTCTCTGCTTCCGGGCGGGCGGAGCTGAGATCGGAGGACGTGGGCACCTTGGGTTGGCCTCCCCGTTTTATCCGTCGCCGCCACTCAATCTGGGGGTCTAGGAAGGGAACCAAAAGTGAGCCCGGCAGAGCCAAGTCACATAGGGGGAGCCGTTGAGGTGGGCGTGGGGGTTATTTGGAGGCTTAAGGGGTCCCACGCACACCCCACTTCACGCCGCTCCGGGTTGTGGGGAGTACTCGGAGAGCCTATGAGCATCCCGTAACGTGCTCCCTAGTCACCCCCTCTCGCCCCTCCCCGGGAGGCCGGGGCGTGTTTACGGGGGTCGGGGCGGATCTGCGGGGAGATGGTCCAGGGGCGGGTCCGGGGCGGGTCTGTGGGGAACCGGAGCGAGGGCGGACCTAAGTCAAAGGCAAGTGAAGGTGGCAGCGACCGCGGCGGCTGCAGCAGGTAGGGGGAGGGGCAAGCGCGCCTCTGGGCTGGGAAGGCGCGGGCCAGGAGGGTCGGCTTTGTGGTTCTGGTCCCGGGGCTGCGGCTCAGGGGAAGGGGCTGGCCAAGAAAGGCGCTCCGCTGCTGTGCACAAAGGCAGAGGCGCTGCGAAGTGCAGGGCGTGTTTGGGGCGCGCCCGAGATGGTGTCCCGGGTCCTGGGCGCTACGTGTCCGCCGTGGGAGGGTGTTGGTCAGGATGAGGACAGGCAGCTAGGGACTCAGAGCGTCAGGTTTCGGGTTCTGGGAGCGGCCAGTCACAGGTCCTACCCATCCTTTCCCGGCTGGCGCTTGCTCGCTGGCAGTCAGGGGAAGTGCGGAGGTTACGGGATGGCCCTGTCTCCCCTCCCCTTTCTCCACCGGACCTACAGTTAGACTGGGTGGAGGGGAGAGATGACGGCCTGAAATGAAGACTGTTTGTTTTTAGATATGGAGGAAAAGGTCATGCTGTACTACCTACACACCAACTGAGAACTGTCGAAACCGGACAAGGTCACATAGTGGTGGCCGTAGGGTAGGACCCAGAGGTTCTGACAGTCTTGCGCTGTCGCCATGTCGGCACTCCGTTTTCTCTTTATCCTACCCAGCCTGGACCTGCTTGTGTTGCCCCGAAGGCCCCTCCAACTTGTATTGATTGAGGCGTAAAGAGGACGTGTTCTCTGGTCTCAGTGGAGGTTAAGTAGGGTTAGTGACCCCGGGATTCTGGGTCTTGGCTGTGGCGGTATATCCCTAAAACACCCAAGTCTATCTCCAGTGTCATTCACCTTGCTCGTGTGTGTTTTCTCAGACCGCGTAGTCAGAACTAAGAACCCTGACCTTTAGTCTCCCCGCACCTAGCCAATAAAAGCCCAGTAAATTGACTCCACCCACCCCATGTGGCCTCTCCTTTCTTTGCAAGTCTGCACAGGTGCTCGCTGCTCTCCAGACCTTCCAGGGTTCCTGTGGGCTCGCTTGTACTTGGGTGGCAGAGTCTTGAGTCACCAGAGAAAGAGAGGCGTTGGTTGGGTTGGAGATCCATGTCCCTCTGTGGAGCACTTTCAGTTGGTCGTTGCCTTAGTCGTTTTTAACCCCTCGAGATGCTGACATTGGGTTATAGTTGAAGGTCATAGTCAATTGCGTACTCTCACTGCCCTGTCCCTTGGTACACTAAGAGTGTACCCAGTCAGCGACAACAGGGAGTGTGGGATGTCCCCTAAATATAGCTTAAGAAACTGGAGCCACATTGCTTCCCCACCCTGGGAGGAGCATCCTGAGGTGTGAGTGTTGGGCTTGGGAGCCAGCAGCGGGGCTGGCAGTCTGAGGAGATGTGCCCTCCTGATTTTGCCCTCTTTTGTAGTACCCTTGAAGTGGGATAGAGGAGCCAGAAAAGCCCTCTGTGTGTCTTGGAGTTTTCACCTCTGGGACCTCTGGGTTCCCTCTGCACCCTGCACTGACCTGGGCTGAGAGTACAGAGGCTGAACCACCTACCAGGCTTATTCATTCTTTCTTTCTTTCTTTCTTTCTTTCTTTCTTTCTTTCTTTCTTTCTTTCTTTCTTTCTTTCTTTCTTTCTTTCTTTCTCTCTCTCTCTCTTTCTTCTTCCTTCCTTCCTTCCTTCCTTCCTTCCTTCCTTCCTTCCTTCTTCTCTCTCTCTCCTGCCTTCTTTCTTTTTTTTTTTTTTTTGAGGCAGGGTTTCTCTGTTCTCTGTGTAGCCTTGGCTGTCCTGGAATTCACTCTGTAGACGAGGCTGACCTCAACTCAGAAACCTGCCTGCCTCTGCCTTCTGAGTGCCAGGATCAAAGGTGTGCACCCCCCCCCCCCCCGCTGGTTTATTGTTTTCTTATCCTGCCAGGCCACCATGGCAGAACTTCAGGAGGTGCAGATCACTGAGGAGAAGCCGCTGCTGCCAGGACAAACGCCTGAGACTGCCAAGGTTAATGGAGACTCTCTGATTTCCCTGTCTCAAACCCATACTCTGAAAACAGCCCCTCGCCTCCCGGCTTCCCCAAGCCCATGGCTCTTATTCTAATGCACACTCCTCCTTTATCCATCTCCTCCCATCTCTTGTTCTAGACACTGCAAAAGGGAGCCCACACCTTGTCTTGTCACTACACTAACCTGCACCCTCTCCTGTCTTGTTTTTTTGTCACTCTTTCTGTATTTGGTGTCTTTTGTTCTTTACCTACCTCTTTGTGTCTGCCTCTCCATTTGTTGTGTGTATCTGTCTGTGTGTGTCTCTCCAGGAGGCCGAGTTAGCTGCCCGAATCCTCCTGGACCAGGGACAGGTAACTGTGGGGACAATGCCAGGGTGGGAGGAGCTCTTCTTTCCCCCAATATTGAAAGGGACCCAATCTGGCTCTCTGCACTTTTTTCCATTCCCCACACTTCTCCCTCCTCCTCTTCTTTCTTTCTTCTTTGAGTTCCTTATTCTCCAGCCTCTCATGTTTTCTACCCTCAGACCCAATTCCACTGTCGCATTTTCATAAAAACTAATCGATCCTACCTTCATGTCACTGTTTACTTCTTTTTGCCTTTCCTCCTTTTGAAAAATTTCCATGTATTTCCTCCCTGATGGCAACCTTTCTCCTTACAGACTCACTCTGTGGAGACACCTTATGGCTCTGTCACTTTTACCGTGTATGGCACCCCCAAACCCAAACGGCCAGCGATATTCACCTACCACGATGTAGGACTTAACTGTAAGACCCTCATTTCTTCTTCTTCTTCTTTCTGGGACGAGTCAGGGGCGGGAAAGACCCAGTGCATATGGGGGGATTGTCAGTATGGTCAGGTGGGGCCCCCAGTAGCATCATAGAAATGTGTCTTTTAGTTCAGCAAGAGGGTGGGTTCTGACACGGGGATGGTTTTCCTTCTGATCTTGTTGTTGTGGGGGAATGTGGGTTCTCTTTAGATAAATCTTGCTTCCAGCCACTGTTTCAGTTCGGGGACATGCAAGAAATCATTCAGAACTTTGTGCGGGTTCATGTGGATGCCCCTGGAATGGAAGAGGGGGCTCCTGTGTTCCCTTTGGGGTAAGAAATAGTTCCTTGTCCCTTTTTTATAAGCAGGAGTGTGTGTGTGTGTGTGGTGGGGGTGTGGACAAGGAAGTGCACAGTGCACCAGAGAGGATGAAAGTGAAGGAGGCAGAGAAGACGCTGGCAAAGGATATGGAGTTACTCCAGGAAGTAGGCATATGGGTACAGATTGGTAACTTTAATGTCTTTCTCTTTTTTAGGTACCAGTACCCATCTCTGGACCAGCTCGCAGATATGATTCCTTGCATCCTGCAGTACCTAAAGTGAGAGGCCTCAGGAGTCCTTCAGAATGTTCTTTTCAGCCTAACGAAGCCCTTAGAATGTGGTCACCATGGTTCCTGGGCTAATTTTCGTCTCAATATACCCTCCTTCTCCTTCCATGTTTTTCACCTTGATTGTCAGGAGGAAGGGCAGTGGGCTTTGACTATTGACTAGAGCTATCA